CAACTGGCTCATAATACCAACTTGAGCAGCACTTTTCATCCCAAAGCATTTTAGACTGCAGGAAGAAATCAGTGAAATGCAGCAATCTGCGGGGTGGAATGCAGCAGTCTGTCTGCATCAGCAGCTATACAGAACAATTTTTAGCAGAGAGAGTTAGGATTAAAACACAGGAGAAGGAGTTCAGTCACTGGCGATAAATTACTGAAATGTGGCTACCTGTGTTCTTGCAAAGGATATTTTGGGAAGGCTGACTAGCACCTCGGCTTTGATCCTCACACAAAGGACAGCAGCAAAGCACCCTATAGCCATGCTGGGGCACTGATTTAGGGCTTACTAAGAGCACCACCCATTGAATCACTATCGCCACTTGTTGCAACTCTTTTTATTTAAAATCTCCCAATCCAAATTCTGACCAGGCTTGACCCTATTTAGCATGTGAGAGCGGATGTGGGTGGGGACTGGCTGGCTGTCCACATGACAGAAATTGCCAACAGAGAGGCCAAGGAGTGAGAGGCAAATGCGCTCTCTTTTGAGTCCTGGGATAGTGGGAGCATGGTTTGTGGGGAGGCTTGCATTGCTGTACTTGCTCTGGAAGGACTTTAATCCGCAGGGTTGTCAGGCTTGCCTCTTTCAACAGAACGAACATTTACACACACTCAAAACCCAATGGAGCTTTATTCCTAGAGAAGTAATTTTTGAAGTGAACACAAGAGGCCTATTTGCTTGTGACTTTTCTCCTTGTGTTGAGTCCCCTGTTTGTTCTGGCTGTGAGTTTGCCAGGTGAACTGTCTTGAGCTTGGCTAGTCCTCAAATCTGCCCTGCTATGATGAAGGATATAACAGTTTTTTAAAATGGAGTGTTTAGAAACAGAGAAAAGAACCAAAATTCCATCTTCTAATGCAGAACCTGCAACAAAACAATCAGGGAAGTGGGCAGCATTGTCCATAGCTTAGTTCAGTTTGATCTCCTGGAGACTAAGTACTAATGCAGTAAACCCTGAGGTTGAGATGAACCTCCCCCCTAAAAAGCAATTGAGCCACCTTGCCTCCTGGCCCTTGGGGTTTGTCAAGCCTGGGAGGGTTAAAGTGTAGCGGGATTGAAGTTACTGAGCTAAGTAACTGTTGCACTGGCTTCTGTCTCTCACTGTGTCAACCTTTGGGTTTGTTTACTTCAGTCAGAAAAGCAGAAGCTATCATATGATTGCTCTCTATAAATACACTAGGGGGTAAACACCAGGGAGGGAGAAAAGCTATTTAAGGTAAAGGACAATGTTGGCACAAGAATGAATGGCCATGAGCAAACTTAGCTAGAAATTAGGTTTCTAACCATCGGAGGAGTGAGGTCCTGGAACAGCCTCTTGGTAGGGATATTGGGGGCAAACAACCTAACTAGTTTTATGATGGCACTTGATACATTTATGAACGCTGATATGATGTGGTTACCTGCAATAGCTGGGGACTGGACTCTATGACCAGGGAGGTCCCTTCCAGTCCTAAGTCCTATGTTTCACCAGGAAAGATGGAGAGGCAGTGACTGCCAATTACCACTGTGTAGTTTAGGTCTTATCTATGCTAGACTAATTTTCCTATGAATAAAAATATCACTCAGTGACCACTCCTCCCTTGGGGAGCACTAGGGTAAACCAGCCACTCAGAGCCAGCAGCACACTAGCACACTTAGATGACCCAGGGCATAGTCACTGAGTTTTCTTTTTCCCTGGGGGTACTCCACCCCTGTTCTGCCCACTCCCCTGAGGTCCTGCCCCCTCTCTGCCTCTTCCTGCTCCCCCCCCCATCTCCACCTCCCTCTGAGGCTTCACCATTGCTCTGCCTCTTCCCTCCTCCAAGGCCCGGCCCTCAGCCTGCCTCTTCCCGCCCTGCTCCAAGCCCTCCCCCCAAGGCCCAGTCCACCCACCGCTCCCTGCTCTCCGTCCTCCCTCAAGCTCCGCTCCCAGCCACCAAACAACTGATTGGCGGCAGCTGCCTGAACAGCTGATTGGTAATTGCCACTGAACAGCTGTGGCTAGAGGGTGCTGAGCACCCATTATTTTTTTTCAGTCCTGGAGCACCCATGGAGTTGGTGCCTATGACCTAGTGGTTAAAATGCTGTTGGCCAGTCTACAATAGTGTTGCCCATTGTTACTATCATTGGAGGTGCACATGTGGTGGCAATGGTGAGACATTTTAGGAGAAAAGAGCTAATGTGGACACCCCCAACAATTCTCCCATATACCCAGTCCAGCTCGCAGTGGGGCTAGCTGGAGTTGGGTCTGAAATAATGCATTTACTGTGCCTGTAACATGCCTAAAACTGATTCCACCATTCTCTTAAGCCTGAAATGAACCTTTTTGAATGAGCAACAGAGGGTCCTGTGGCACCTTTAAGACTAACAGAAGTTTTGGGAGCATAAGCTTTCGTGGGTAAGAACCTCACTTCTTCAGATGCAAGTTTTCTTGCATCTGGGTGAAGTTTTGTCATAGCCTGACTGCTGCCAGTGGTGGAGTTTTGGCTGCTCCCCCATCCCTCCCTGTCACAATATAGAGTTTGTTTCGTGCCTTTCTTACTGATGCAAGCTTCCAAAAATGTTTCATAACCTTCAACGACTAGTGCTTTGCAGTTTGTTATTCTGTGTCTCATGTTTTTCACTTTTTGGCTGGACAGATTTTATAGGATCTCAAAAGTGCTGCCTAAGAATTAATTGTTCCTTGACACTCTCTTAAGTCATAGGTAGGAGAGATACAGGGATCCACTTTAACTGCTATTGGAATACAGCCACTTCTGGGGTAGTGCACACCATCTATTTAACAACGCATAGCAACTCTGCACAATGGTTTAGAGCAGGAGATGAGAGAGAATGCTGTGTTCAGTTAGAACTGCTGGGGGAATTTAGCTATGCAGATTGGAATTACCTGAATGGCAATTAGCCAGGACACAGGAGTTAAAACTCCATCTCCTCCTAAAAATACCAAAGTCAGTATTGAATCAGTGCCTCAGAACGCTGGTGAGATGCACTGTGATGCATCTTAGATGTTGAGTTTAAAATTAAGGGACTCTTTTCAGCCTTCTTGGATGTTTTGCAGAGAAGGTGGTAGGCCCCAAGTCCTGGCTGTTCTGATCATTCCATTCTGCATACTAAATTTCCCCCAGCAGTTCTAACTGAACACTGAGTTTTTCACTTCCTGTCCTAAACTGTTGGCCATGGCCGGAGATGGGACACTGGGCAGGGTGGGCCAGAACTCTGAGGTGGCACCAAACATTCTCTGTCTCAGTTGCTTGGCTCGCTGGTTCTTGCTCACATGCTTAGGGTTTTACTGATCACCATATGTTGGGTCAGGGAAGAATTTCCCCCCAGGTCAGATTGGCAGTGACCTTGGTGGGGGAGAGGGAGTCCATCTTCCACTGCAGTGTGTGGGTCTGGGTCACTTGCTAGGATTATCTGGGTATCTCTCATTTAACCATTTACCTGCAATTTTGGGGGCCTTGGGCACTGCTACATCTCGGTCCCTCCTATTCTTTGCCTGTGGTACATAATAGTCTAGTTTCCTTGGATATCATTTACTTTGGCTAGGGTGATCAAACATCCTTTTATAAGCCCGGTCCCGGCCGGCCTGCCTTTTTTGGCAAAAGTGGGCAAGAGCAAATGGGACAAATGCCTGCTTTTGTCAAAAAAAAGTGGGGTGTGGAGCAGTGTTCCCTCTAATATTTCCCATCCATGTGTGGAATGAATTTTGTTAGGTGCACCAATATGGAGGTGATGTGTGACACATATGGCGGGGTGAGGCTGAGGGGTTCGGAGTGTGGGAGGGGGCTCAGGGCTGGGGCAGAGGGTTCGGGTGCAGGGGCTGGGCTGAGGGCTTTGGCTTGGGGTGCAGGCTCTGGGGTGGGGCCAGGGATGAGGGGCTTAGGGCTGGGGCAGAGGGTTGGGGTGCGAAGGGGTGAGGGCTCTGGCTGAGGGTGCAGGCTCTGGAGTGGGGTTGGGGATGAGCAGCTGGGCAAGGATAGGGAGAGAGGACTCCTCCCCCCAGCTCTCTCTCCCTGCAGCACCAGGAGCACCTGGGCTGTGGGGAGGGAGAGGCGTCTCTCCCCGCTGCGGCAGGTCCCGGCTGCATTGGGCCAGGGGAGGGTTCCGCGCTGGGCTGGGTTGGGGCAGAGGAGGGGCACCACAGCAGGTCCAGGGCTTGTGGGGAGGCATCTCTCCCCCGGCGCAGCCCTGATTGCCTGCGTGGCGCTTAATAGACAGCTGCACAGCCATGCAGGAACTTAGGAGCGGAGAAACACGTGGGGGGGGGGCATGCGGCAATGCCTAGTGGGGGGGAAGGCAGGGCTCAAGGGAGCAGCGACACCAGCCCCAGCCTTTGGGAAGTATGCTAATCCTATTCAGTATGTGCATTGCTGCTCACCCGAGTCTTGCCTGCCCCCTGCGCGGGGAGAGGGGCTTGGGTAAGTGGCCCTGGCCAGCCCCGCATGGGGGTGGGAGGAGGCTCGGGTGGGGTCGGGGGACTCGGGTGACTAGCTCGGGCCAGCCCCGCACGGTGTCCTATTTTCCCTTTGGGAAATATGGTCACTCTAACGGCCTCATTCAGGCCAAAAGAATGGCTCCCCAAATCCTCTCTGGGGTTTCCTTGGAGACAGTTGAGGAGGGAAGTTAGGCTTCCATTGATTTTCAGTGGAGGTTGGGCCCCCTCGTGCCATTTGTGTCTTGACAGTCTCCCCCAGAGAGCCTGTTTACCACTTGTGTTTATCCCAAGTTAACTCATTGGCTTCAGTGCAGCTACACCTGATTCCCACTGTCATAAGTAAGAGGGGAGTCAGATCCAGACACTGAAGAAGTGTCTGAGTTGCAAGCTCCCTGTCCGTTTTTGTCCCACTATCCCAGCAAGTGGCATTGCCTCTGCTGCATGCACTTTCAGGATACCCTAAGGCAAGCTCTTCAATTCAGCAGGACACTGTTGGATTTATCTATGCCCTGCTGATCTCTCCTGCTTCATTTTTATTTTCCAGAGAGACGGTATTCCAGATCTCGTCCCAAGGCAAACCTGCTGAGCTACTCTTCCCATAGCGTGACGGTTCGGCAGCCCAGCGAGACGGCCCTGACGCCACTGACGGAGCAGGAGGGTGAGGCTTACTTGGAGAAATGTGGCAGCATCCGTCGCCACACTGTTGCCAATGCTCACTCGGATATCCAGCTCCTGGCCATGGCCTCCATGATGCACACAGGGATCGTGATAGAAGAGCCAGACAACAGTGACAAATGCCTCCTCCTGCAGCCCAGCTTCAGTCACAGGCAATGCTCCAGTGAGCCCAGTATTGCTGATGGGCCGGAGGGACTGGTAGCAACGGGCAGGCAGGAACCTACGGAACTGAACTGCACCTCCGTCAGCTAGAAAGGATGTCCCCTCCAGGAGAGAGAACCATGTGTACTAAACCAGACGATGGGCAGTTGTGTTCCTGCTGGGAACGGTGGAGAATATGAGCCTTGGGAATGTATTTGCTCATGTTGTGGGAGTGGTCTATGTTCTCATGTCTCTTGGGAAAGGCACCTTAGATTTTTATCTCTGACTTTCTAGGATCATTGTCAGTGGAGGTACCAGGCTGCTCCCAGCAGAGCATTCAGGACTGCAAGGGTTTCAGTGTTAAATGCCACTGTCTCTGTATTCTGTAGAGTTTCTTCCTGAGCTGCTCAACATCCAAGTTCCACTGCTGTAGCCTCAGGTTCCCTCCCTTTTCTTTTTAGTGAAAGAAATTAATCTGAACGTTTTTCAATCTCATGCCTAACTCCTTGGTCTCATTAAATGGAGCCCTCCTCCAACTCCCAGCAGCAATTGGAGAGACTGTGCTAAAAGCTCACTTGGTCCTTGCCCTCTGTTGCTAGGATGGTGATGCCCTGGGGTTGGGTTTTTCTTTTAAATGTATTGTACTCAGGGATTAAACTTTGCGAGTCTTGTGGAGAACTCTGCCCCAGATGCTTTGTAGTTTCTGAGGGTGGGGGAGGGATTTCCTTTCTTCTTTGCTCCCACTGCATAAAAGGGGAGAGACTTCATCTGACTTAGCAAGAAGCCCAAATCAGAGTGAGCTAAAGCTCTGAATGTTTTTTCCTCTGAGAGTGTTGCCTGTCCATGTTCAGCCCCAGTGTGCACTCCCCCTTTGAGGTCAGTGGAGTCTTATGGGGAGTAAATAAGGGTAGGATTTGGTCCCACGTGCCCTACTTGGACTTTGGCATCAGGCATGCTGTCAAAAATGTTAGCATTATCAGGATTCCACCATAAGGAGAAACCTGGACAGCTGGCTTCCAAGAGAAAAGGGGCAATACGGTAACTGGGGGTATGCTCCTGCATTCGAAAGGTGACTTTGAAAGTGGCTTTTTGAGCCCAGGCATCCATGGGTCCAACCCCGGAGCTAACATGGGGGAAATCAGCTTTGGATTGGTGCCTGAACTTCTAGCTCTTACAGAATTTATGAAATCAAAAATAACCGTCTGGGTTAGAGACAGGAACTCTAGCTCTGTTTGCAGCTAGGTTTGGTTTTTTTTTTATTTTTTTTTATTTGGAAAGCTACAACTTGTCCAGTTCTTAAGCAATGTTAGTGTCTGTCTGACAGTGGCATACAGTGAATTCCACTCTGACTGCTACAGAGGGACCGATAGGTACTCCAGAAGCTGCTCCCATAAGAGTGGAGTCAACCTGCTCCACAAATCCCCCTAGATATTCTGCTGATGTCTTGCTAAACAGAATTGTAAGTGTAATTACAAGCTGCTTTGAATTTCAGACTCCATTTAAAAAGGAGACACCTCCCCATCATCTCTCAGAGTGTTGCCTGCCCATGTTCAGCCCCGATGTGCACCCCCACTGATGTCCCCAAGGTCATCAACATGCACATGTAGATGACAAATAAATCCGTGATTGGAAAGGTTTTCTCTACCTGCCAGGACCTGAATTCAGGTCTCTGTATTTCTCATGCTATAGGTAATGACTTTGTGTAAGGTCGGCTTTTGCAAGGCAGTGAGCAAAGCTCCATTCCCATTGACTTCAATGAAAGTGGAGGTTGCTGGGCATCTCTCAGGATTGGGCCTCAATCGCCCGAGCAATGTCAGGAGTAGAGATTCTTCCGAGGCTGCTGTTAGCATCAGAAATACCAGGGAGGAGCCCTGAGCTCTGGAGCTCTTTGCAGCGCCTGTGGTTGGTAACTGTCGGTCTACAAATGCATTTGGCAAGGGCCTGCTCCTGCCCCTGGTCAAGCTGCCTGGAGTTTCGCTGTCTGCTTTAGCAGAAGTGCACTGATCTGGGATTGCAACCAACTGTTTGGACTTTAAAACCCTGGTCTACCATTATGTTCAAGCCTCCCAAGGAGGAGCAGCACAGAATGTGCAGCCCAGCAGGAGGAGGGGCCACTTTTGCTCTACCTGGATTCCCCGCCTGGCCATTATTTGGCATGCCCCCTACATTAAGGCTTTCAAGGTGGGGTGCAGGATTGGTCTCATTATGTTGGCCCTACACTGCTCCTGCACCAAGATTATTATTCTCTGGCCACTTGTGGTACTTTTATGGCTCTATTGGATACCAGTGACGGGATGTGGTGCGGGGAAGATAATCTCTCCATAGTATTTCAGTTCAACCTCTTCCCCCTATTTAGTAAATAGCAGGAACGTGCTTCAATAGTGAGTACGAGCTTCTTTTTATGACTAAACAATGAGAAATGGCTGTTCGTTTCCTGACATACTCTGGGATCATCATCCATTTCCCTCTCTGGGAAGGGGAGTCTCTGAGGAGTATAGGACTCCATGCCTGGTATTAACTTGAATTTCTTTTTTATCTAGCTCTATCCACTTGTTTGACTTTTTAAAATTTGTGTGGGTCTGCTACTTTGCAAAAATTTGTACCAAGACGGTCTGAGTTGGGCACGTCCCACGTTTGATTTTGGCAGGGGAGGGAAGGGTAAAGCTGGTGGTTCCATTTTGTAAACAACGTGCGAGGCTCAAGGAAAGCCAGCGAGGGTGTTTAGAAATGAGGTGGGAAAGGTGATGCTTACTGGGCCACCAAATGAACATATAAGGTGCACAAGCTTTTGGAAGCACAAAGAGGCTTGGTCTCCTGTGCGCAGCTAATGCAAACTAGTTTTGTAGAAGGTGAGTAGCCTGCCTGCTGTGACTTGCATGATAGGCGAGAGGAAGGGGTTGCATTGAAGGGCAGGACACTGCTGAGTGCTAGGGCATGGTTGCACCATATTTGCCCAGTGGATGGCAACAGGCTAGGAGCTCTAGGAGTAAAAGGAGCCAATGACAACAGTGATCCCTGCTGCTCAATAGAAAATATGACCTGTGGAAGGTTTCTAGCATGCAGTGATCTATCTTGATTTAAACAGCCAGACAGGGCTGCTTTGATATTGGTCCAAGGCAGGTCCTAGACCTCCTATCTACATGCCTTCTTGCATTGCTATGGACAGAAGGGAAGGTGGGTGGGAGGGGTTCAACTCCCCTGTATCCTGCCATTTGATGCAAACCTCTGTAAGCTGCCAACAAGTGATGAAATGATTCCCCTCCTACCCCCCAAGGTTGTACAGTACCTTCTTATTGGATTAACAGAGAGAGTAAGTCACTTCCCACCTCAATTGCTCTGTCTTACTCCTACCGGATTCAAGACCACGTGGACAAGTGGTTTGTTATCACATCCATGTGTCCATACAGTTTTGCTGTAGTCTGTGATGCAGATTTACTTAAGGGTCCAGATTGAAACCTAAATTTTAGTAAAACTTCTCATTTTTCTACCACTCTCATGGGTCAAATGGTATGGTTTTGTCACTAGCAAGTTTAGTCTCCTCCAGTCCACTACTGGGATGGGCAGCAACCTGCTTTTATATTTTAATTCTCAGTCCAAACACAGGCAGTAAATCCTGTTGCTATTAAAACTTGGTTGTCCCTGACAGCACATGAATTGCAGCTGGGTTTGGAAAGACCTTCATGTAGTACTTTTTCTTTAGGTTTCCACCCTCCCCAATCTTATTGTTGGGGTTCCCTTGGGAGTAAAATTGTTGAAGCCTGCAACTCTATGTTGAACCTACAGTGGTTTTGGTCCGCATACTATGTCTAAGATTTCCAAAGGGTTCTGAACCTCCATTTGAAATTTTTTAGGGACCCGCAACTGAAAAAAGCTTGAAAACCACTGCTGTAGTCTGAAAACTCTCATTTTATGGATTGCTTGTACATTGACAACCTTCTTACTCACTACACGTTGTTTTACACTAGCCATGTGTGTCTACTTTTGCTCATAAAGTTCAATTTTTATACGGAATTGTTTTTGAACCATACAGTTCTACTGCAGCCCCAAGGGAACTTGTACTTCCAGCTCCACTGCCTGCCAGCCTGTGTTATCTTTTCAACACGTGGGGTGTAGTCCTGACCCTATTGCAGCCATTGACAAAACTCCCATTGACCTCAGTGGAATGAGGCGTTCACCCTCTGGGGTTAGAACGAAACTTAACCTAGAGCAGCAGGCCGTTACCATGGCCCTGCTCTGGACCACCTAAAGCTGACCTGCAAAGGACACAAATTGGCCTTTCTGGTAGGAAGACTGCCTAAAGGGCTCATTGTTTATGGGCTGGTGCTGTACAAGACAGAGTCAGCCCTCCTGATGCAAGATGCATTGGAAGAGCCAGAGATCAGCTGGTGTAAATCACCATAGTGCTGTTGAAATGAGTGCTAGCCTGACTCATAGGAGCTGAGGATCTGGCCTTTTTCATCCAGTTGCCCTCTCCACACTCCTTCAAGGGGAGGATAACATCTCTGGGGCTAGGGTTTGTGTTTGTCAGGCACCCTCCCTCTCCCCACTTTGGGAACATCTAGTGGTTCCATGCAGGGAGGGATGGGAGGTGGGTTTGGGGCTAGTACTGTGCCTGGAGTGAAGGGGCCATCAGCTGACACAACAATCTGGCTGAAGGCCAAAGTGGAGTTGGATTGGAACAGGAGGGTGAGGACTGTAAATGGTGGGGAAGGTGATTTGGAGAAGGAAGTGGGGCAACAATGATCCTTTTAGCCGCTGTGGCTGGGCTTGAGGCAGTAGCCAGGAGCAAAGAAATGCACATTTTTTTTCATAGACTCTTTCAGCACCTGGTATAATCATATAGTTTCTGCTTGGCAAATGTCAGCTCTCTCTGCACTCCTCTGGAAGGGCTCCATGGGCCTTGTCAGCAGCCCTTAGCCTTGTCCCAGCTGCAAAGCCCCTTTGGGTAGCCTTCATAAGGAGGTCCAGCTGGCTGTGCAGGCTAGAGCCTAGGAAGTGAGGGAGGATGTGTGTGTCCCTGGTGGTGATGAAGCATCTACATTGCTCCCCTCCTGCTGCTTACATGCAACTGTCAGGGGCTCACTAGTAAATTTTTAGCTTTACATCCTCATTGCAGCTGCCTCAGAGCAGTATGAGGAAGTGCTGCCTCCGTATTTTGGAGTTGAACTCCAGCTGTTGCTGCTGCCCAGTGTTGTTGACTCGGTCAGTGTATGTTTGTTTGAAGCTAGAGCCATTTTGGTAATTGCTACTTCCTGTGAAAAACAACCTGTCAGTAGAATTCAGGAAACTCGTGATAGAGAGTGGAAAACAAGCCCTTTTCTAATACAAAATGTGTCAGGAAGGACCTGGAGGTGGTGTTAGCTGCCCAAGTCTGACACTTCCATTGTAACTTAACTCAAAGGCACCCGCAGAGACATGTTGCCGCTTGCAAGCAACCAAGGACCACTATATTCTGGGACTTTCCTAGAGGGCAGCGTGCCTGTAGCCCATGAAGTCAATGGAATTTTGACTGTTCATTCAAGAGGAGCAAAATGAAGGGAATGCTGAATGCTTTTGAAGAGCTCACCCCGCTGGGCCTCCTGGGCTGTCCTCAGCCCAGTATGGATAATCAGATTCTTTGCCTTCCTTTAGAGAAGGCAGGGTCTCTCAAACTGTTGTGTGGGCCACTCTTTGAAATAGTGATGGTTGCATGGAACCTCCCCCCCCACACCCCCACACCCCTCCCCAAATGCATTTCACAGAGCACCTGCCCTCCTCCCTGCAGTCATAACCTTGGATTGATGATAGCAAATGACTGGCTGAGAAAATAATTACTAGGGTTTAGCATGTGGAGCTGAGGGGAGGCTCACTAGCAATCTGACAGTCAGTTTGAGAACTGGTGCCCTATATTATCTTATGTTCTAAATACCCTTTGTAAAGCAACTGCCAGCTTCCACCCTAGAGCTGGCTGCATTCCCCTATTAAAGGGTAAAGGGAGGGTGCAGTTGGTGTAGACTCCTCAGCCATCACATACCCATGGTACCTCTCTTTAGTGGGTTCACAGGCCTGGGTTGTTACCCCCCCCCCAATAAAGGGTCAGCATCTACCCTTTGTTGGGACCACTGCAGTGTGTGACATCCTCCCCTCCTTTTTCACCTATGTCACTTATATACACTGTAATAAATGGGATGGTGTTTTTGGGGCGTGCTGCCCTGCTTGTAATTCTTTCTCTCGGGAGGGTCCTGATTAACTCACTTCGCCTGACCAACTTGATCTCACTTAGCTCCCACAGCTGTGGCAGCTTTGGTTGTACTATAGTGTTCAGCTGGTACCCTGAGGCCAATCCCTAAACCAATCCCAGCATTGCAAAACTGAGTAATATTAGGAGATTTGAAAATTACTGTCATGATGTGGAGAGTTACTGGCCTTCCATAACAATTTCAGGTTGGCCTGGGCGATCTGCCTGGGGGGGGGAGGGGGGAGTGGGTGATACACATACTGAGTCAGCTGAGCAGCGGTATGCTCTCTCCTCACATAATGATGGAGGAGAAAGAGGGTTAACTATAGCTCAGATACAGCTGTTGAACTGGTCTCTGCCCACAGTCCCTACATTAAAGGGAAAGAAAAACCCAGCTAAAATAGTAGCTTGAATGCTTTCAGATGGAAGGTGGAGTGATGTATCTCTTCCCCCACTCTTGTAGAAGAGCTATAGGATTTGGCTAGAACAATCAGAGGGTTTCCTGTTATAGCTCTAGTCAGTAGGCTTGGGAGTGAATTCCCACTGTAGCTCAATGGGCTTCATCTCTGTCCTCCAGTAAGTGGTAGAGGCTGTAAAGCAGTAACCTGTCCTAGCCAGTGAGATGACAATGGGCCCTGTTGCTTTTAAAATTGTAACCCACAGCAGTTCTCTTCAGTACCCACAAGCACTACGTCATTATTACTTTTGTAAAATGAAAGCTTAAGTTTGTATGAACTGACAAGATTCCTAACAACACACAGAGGCCCCCATGCTTAGAACTAAATCCAACACCTGTATGAGTAAACAAACTGATACTATTCCCCTTTGGCAGAGGCATTTTATGGCTTAATGTGCACATGTATTTGTACTAACGAACTGCAGATAGTAGAATGAAAATTCAAGCTGCTGAAGTAAGAGCTGTTCAAACCTCTGTAGAACGTGAGCCTAATCAGACTTCATTTGAGGGCTGGAGTGATGCTGCCCCCTGCAGGCAGATGTTGCCTGCATCTCTCTGAGCAGAATAAGCCTTCAGTTTTTTACTATAACCTTGCTCCCCTGGGTGACTGCAATGCACAGTGAGTACAGATCCAACAGCTGTTCCTGCTGCTCTGCCTGGGAGCCTGTAGTTTTAACCCTAATGAAAATGGTTTAATGGCTCATCCTTAATATTCTGGCATTAAAAAATGACAGCAGTTGAAGAGCTCTCAGGTTATCTAATTGCTCCTCTCCTGAAGGAAGATTATTCCCTACTGTATGTCACCGATTGGCAGCGCCTGTATGTGCCTGTTGTACACCGTCACATATCCACAGGGTTGGTATTACGCTACCACTTTTGGAAAAAAGTCTTGAGGAGGAACCTGTAGGCCAGTCCCCAAGGGCTCTCACTCTTCCTGCACAGGGTAGTCCATATGGCTTCACTGCCTCCTTACACGGGAACTCTGCTTCACCCTGTGAGCTATCTCGGTTGGACTTACTGAACAGACGCCTGGAAGACACTTGTACATGCTTCAGGGATTAATGCACCGCGCCCAGCATTTGCAGTAACGCTCAACAAGCATTGTCAAAACAATAGGGTTTATTAGTCACCTGGAACACAACACACAAAGTCCTTAGGTTAGCATAGGGAACTGAAGGTTAAAGCGTTGTCCATTCTGGTTAGCCCAGAGCCCAGTCATGCTTTGGAGAACCCCTGTGGTCAAGCTCGGTCTCTCACTCTGACCTCCTTAGTCGCTTCTTGGGTGACACCCCAGCTTCCAGCAGCCAACTCTTATCCCCTACCTAACACCTCTCCAGTCCTTTGTTCTGGAGGTGGCATCTTTGTAAAACAGCTTCCCTGCTGAGAGGTGGAGAAATCCATCTCCCTCTGGGCCACTGGATGCTAGTGTCAATGTCCCGCTGATTTGATTTACCATTGTTTTCTCAGATTCTCCACTGATATTGGGTCAGTCTCAGCCAGTCCTATTTTAATGACTTGTTCAGGCTCAGACTGCTAGGTGACATTCATACCTGTCTTTTAGGCTATGTCTACACACTACCACTTATGTCCCTCAGGGGTGTGAATATTCCACCCCCCAAGCGACAAATTATGCCCGAATAAGTGGTAGCATGCATGGTGCTATGTCGGCAGGAGACCTTCTCTCGCTTACATAGCTACTGCCGCTTGATGGAGGTCGTTTAATTATGTTGACAGGAGAGCTCTCTCCAGCGGCATAGCGCAGCTACACAAGAGATCTTACAGCGACGCAGCTGCATCGGTGCAGCTGCATCGGTACAGCTGTGCTGCTGTAAACTCTCTAGCGTAGACATAGCCTTAGGCGTGGTCTACACTATGACTTTAATTCGGATTTAGCAGCGTTAAATCGAATTAACCCTGCACCCGTCACACAATGAAGCCATTTATTTTGAAATAAAGGGCTCTTAAAATCGATTTCTGTACTCCACCCTGACAAGGGGAGTAGCGCCAAAATCGATATTGTCATTTCGAATTAGGGTTAGTGTGGCCACAATTTGTTGGTATTGGCCTCCGGGAGCTATCCCACAGTGCACCATTGTGACCGCTCTGGACAGCTATCTGAACTCGGATGCACTGGCCAGGTAGACAGGAAAAGTCCCGCGAACATTTGAATTTCATTTCCTGTTTGCCCAGCGTGGAGAGCACAGGTGACCACAGATAGCTCAGCTCATCAGCACAGGTAACCATGCAGGTTGATAATCGAAAAAGAGCACCAGCATGGACCGTACGGGAGGTACTGGATCAGATCGCTATATGGGGAGAGGATTCAGTGCTAGCAGAACTTCGTTCGAAAAGACAAAATGCCAAAACTTTTGAAAAAATCTCCAAGGGCATGATGGAGAGAGGTCACAATAGGGACTCAGATCAGTGCCGCGTGAAAGTCAAGGAGCTCAGACAGGCCTATCAAAAAACAAGGGAGGCAAACGGTCGCTTCTACACCGAGCTGCATGCAGTTCTAGGGGGGGGCCGCCACCACTACCCCCACCTCTGACCGTGGATTCCGAGGCAGGGGTAATCTCAGCAGCTACACCTGAGGATTCTGTGGACGGGAAAGAGGAGGAGGACGAGGACGAGCTTGTGGAGAGCACCCAGCACTCCGTTCTCCCCAACAGCCAGGATCTTTTTCTCAGCCTGAATGAAGTACCCTCCCAACCCAGTATCCAAGACCATGGCCCCATGGAAGGGACCTCAGGTGAGTTTACCTTTTAAAATATAAAACTTGTTTTAAAGGCAAGCGTTTTTTAATGATTACTTTGCCCTGAGGACTTGGGATGCATTCGCGGCCAGTACAGCTATTGGAAAAGTCTGTTAACGTGTCTGGGGATGGAGCGGAAATCCTCCAGGGACATCTCCATGAAGTTCTCCTGGAGGTACTCCAAAAGCCTTGCCACAAGATTTCTGGGCAGTGCAGCCTTATTCCGTCCTCCATGGTAGGACACTTGACCACGCCATGCTTGCAGCAAGTAATCTGGTATCATTGCATGACAAAGCCTGGCAGCGTATGGGCCTGGTGTTTGCTGGCATTCAAGCAACATCCATTCTTTATCTCGCTGTGTAATCCTCAGGAGTGTGATATCGCTCATGGTAACCTGGTGGGGTTAGTTTGGTTTCTGCAGGGATCGTCCCTGATACCAGCCACGCGGTGGGGGGAGGGATAAAGCGATCATCCCAGAGAATTGGATGGGGGGGAGATTTAGTTTGTTTTCTGCTGCTGAAGGTTAACAGGAATAGGGTGACCAGATGACAGAAGTGAAAAATCAGGACGCGGGTGGGCAGAGCAAAAAAAAACAAGTCCCTCCCCCGTGTGCGCCTGGACCCCCCCCCCAGCGCCAGAGGGTGTGCTCAGGCCACGTCCCCCAGCCCCCTCCCTCCGCCTGCTCTCGGACAACTGCCACTCGTCCCCTCCTGCTCCCCTCGCTGCAGATGGGGCTGGGGAGCCGATGGCCAAACACGCACCTCCCCTCACACCCCGCACTGGGGCTGGACCGGCACGTGTGGGAGAACCCGCCCCGAGAGCACTGCCTCCACCCCGGCCTCCCCATCAGTCTCCCATCCCTGCAGCATCATCCCCCCACCCTGCACGGGCTACCCAGAGCGGCATCGGACCCCCCCGTCCTCCCTCCCAGAGCCTGCCTGGCACAGCCCCCGCCCCACCGCAGTGCTAGCCTCAGGATCCAGCAGGCACGTCCCGTCCAGGGACCCCAGCACCCCACACCCACTTACTGCTGCACTCTGGGTCGGTGCAGCGCTTGCACTCACTGAAGCACCGGTCCAGGTGCTTGGCGGCCAAGCAGAGGGGCCACTGTGCGGGCAGGTGCAGGGCAACTAGGGCGAGGAGCAGGAGGGAGAAGCAC